AATTGTTTGGGACAATGATTTATACTTTAGAGTTGTTACCACATCTTTTACCTTGCGAGTACGTAATAACTTGCTATTATGGACATTTTCTTATTGAAGCCAAAATATTTTTAGCTTCTGAAGCATGTTGAGAACTTCATGGCACAAAACCTTTTGTATTTTCGTACTATTATCCCCAAGATTATTTCCTTTCTCTTATTCTTGTCTAATTGCAGCAATGATTTCTTCTTTGGTTAAAGCATATACGATTTATTGCTCATTTGGATAATCAAGGAAGATATTAATATCCATTCGATTAGTGTAGTGAAGTTGTCGAATCTGATCCCTTAATTCTGCAATGACTCTTTTATTCTCCTCATCCACTTCATTTGTATCTTGTAAGTCATCGACATTGGGGAATCTAATTTTGCAGTGCTTGAAACCATTGGTAATTGTCTATGACTTCATATCAATTGACCATGCATCAACTGCATTTACAGTTCAATTAATAACACTTATCTTTATTGGTTCCAAGACACGATCTTCTATCCGTTTCAAAATAGGCAATTGAAACGCTGAATTGAAATCCTAATACTACTAAAATATGAATTAAAATCCTAATACTATAAAACTAAAACATGAACTATAAAATAAGAAATTAAAACAATAATTTTTGTAACCACATCTCCATTAAGTTATAACCTCCTCAGAGTTATAAAATTAGTTAGTCCCACCATTATGACTATAGAAATGTTTTACTATATATATATGATATGGATGTTGGATCTTCTTTTGCTGCATTTGAAAGCTTGGTTGATGAAATATTAAGAAACAAGCCATGAAGAATCACATTATCTTAATCATATTTAAGCTTTTATGGTTGGAATTATCTTCTATTAGAAAATATTAAAGTTTGGGTGTCCAGAATCCATTGAATACCCTACAAGCTCAATGGACCAGGTAAGTCATCACAAATGTGGTAGGTGGCCAATTTGTAGGACTTGAACACAAAACCTCTCGATAACCCACCCAGATCACTAAAATCTTGCCATCCGGCTACAAGGCTAATGGTCAACCTCAACACCCAGATGACCAATAACCACCTACAAAAACAGTAGAAATTGAATTAGTAAAATGATAATGAAGTAAAACAATTTCAATTTACATAAACATGTACTGATGCTGATTTTGCCGTCCAATATTCTCACCTTATAACCACTCCAAAAACAAAATTTTTATCTTCACTTTGTCTAAGCGCCCAGTTTGTTTTATATATTGGACACACATCCAAGTAAATAAATAAGAACTTAATTTCATCGCCATAATCTCCATAGCCAACAATGAAGAAAATTGCAGAGCTAGTGTTGATTCCTGCTCCAGGATTAGGCCACCTTGTGCCCAAAATTGAGTTCGCAAAGCGTTTGTTGGATCGTGATGATCGATTCTCAGTAACTGTTCTTGTAATCAGGCCTGCTGTTGTTCCTGATGCCATTTTTGCACATGTTGAATCGCTTGCAGCCTCTGATACTCGAATCAACTTCATTAATCTTCCCCGTTCTGATGATCACAACCGTTTAATGGAGTTTCCGAAGTCCCCAGAAAAGTTACTCTCGGATCTATTGGATGCTCAGAAGCCGTACGTTAAAGAGGCTATTATGAAGCATGTGATTTCTAACTCAAACTCAGCTCCTCTTGCTGGATTGGTAGTTGATTTCTTTTGCACATCAATGATTGATGTTGCGAATGAGCTCGGGGTTCCTTCTTATCTGTTCTTCCCTTCCGCTGCAGCTTGTCTCGGCCTTTTGTTAAGCCTCCTGGGTAGACATGATCAAGGAGGCAGAGAATTTGAAGAGTTAGAGGCCGATTATGTGTTCAAGAGTTATGTCAATCCAATTCCTAGCAGAGTTTTGCCTATGTTTATGTTCAACAAGTATGGTGGCTACACTACACTTGTGAACCACGCAAGAAGATTCAAGGAAACTAAAGGGATTATTTTGAATTCATTCGCGGAGCTCGAATCTCATGCTGTTAATTCTTTGTTGAATGATGATGATATTCCTCCTGTTTACGCAGTTGGACCCGTGATGGATCTCAAGGGTGAGAGTGAGTCAAGGTCGGATGAGACACGACGCGATGAGATCATGAAATGGCTTGATGATCAACCTGATTCATCAGTTGTTTTCTTGTGCTTTGGAAGCCAGGGGAGCTTTGGAGAAGAACAGGTGAAAGTAATCGCAGAAGGACTGGAGCAAAGTGGGGTGAGGTTCTTGTGGTCACTGAGGAAGCCACCACCAAAGGGTAAACTTGCAATGCCTGGTGAGTACACAAGCGATATCCAGGAAGTACTACCAAATGGGTTCCTGGAGAGAACAAAGGAGATGGGAATGGTGTGCGGATGGGCACCGCAAAAGGCGGTGTTGGCTCATAAATCAGTCGAAGGATTTGTGTCACATTGTGGGTGGAATTCAATCTTGGAGAGCTTGTGGTTTGGTGTTCCAATAGTAACATGGCCTATGTATGCAGAGCAACAGATTAATGCATTCCAAATGGTGAAAGATCTGGGACTGGCTGTGGAGTTGAAATTGGATTATAGAGACACCAGTGGAGAAATTGTGTCAGCAGAAGAAATAGCAAGCGCTATAAAATCAGTAATGGACATTGACAATAAGGTGAGAAAAAGGGTAAAGGAGGTGAGTGAAAATGGCAGATCAACTGTAATTCATCAAGGATCTTCCTTTTCTGCATTTGGACACTTGCTTGAAGACATAATCAAAAACAAGCCTTGAAGATCAGGATGATTTGTCATCAATTTTTAATTTTGCAAAAAATATTCTGAAAATTCTTCCATATTTTCAGGGAATGAACAAAGAATACAATAAATCCACCAAACAAATACAATTTAACTGCAAGAAATTTGAGAAATGGTTTCAATCTCTTAAACAGCTGGAAATTTTGACATGAACTGCAGGATCCCTCTTCTTCTTCGTCTTCGTCTTCTTAAAATGTTTCGATGCAGCTTTCAGCATCTTACTCCATTTCTGCAAATAATCGATCAAGTTTTAGAAAGCAAGAAACTTTCCAAATTTACAACCCAAAAGCAGAAAATTTTAATTTCAATTACCTTAGAGCTGATGGGAACACAAGAGCCTTTAACAGAAGCGGGAGAGAATTCAGAGGCCATAACATTCACCATTTTCTTCTTCTTCTTCTTCATTGTCTGCTTCAAAAGATCGACATTAATGTTGAGTTTCTTCTTGAAAAAGGTACCAAAACCAATTTTCTGGGCGCTGTGATTCCGCATCTTCTTCTCCAACTCAAACCCACCTCCGAAATCATCATACGAGAACTTTAATGGAGTCACCAAGTCAAGGCCCATGGGTCTGTACGGACGAGGGACCAAAGGAGACCAGAGTGAGCTCTGTGAGTAGTCAAAGTCGAAAGCCGAGTTGTCGGGGAACTTGCACAGGAGATCTCGAGACATCAATGGCTCTAAGTACTCGATCACTTTAGCTGTAGTTGTAATGAGCCTTTCTTCTTCTTCTTCTTCTTCTTCTTGGTATTTCATTGTTTGATTTGCTGCGTGTTATGTTGTTACTTGTTTGCTTTTGAGTCTGAGTGTGAAACTTTTTAAGAGGATTCTGAGGTTGAAGACGACATAAAAAGTAACCGTTACATCTGAGTAGTTCAAGTACTTCTAAATGTTTTTATTTTCCGATTCTACCCTCAGTTTTTTTTAAATTCCCTGTTTTGTGTCTCTAGCCAACGTCACTTTGTGGGATTTTTTGGTTTATACATGTGCCCCTAAGATTTCTCTTAACGACAAAATCCCCCCTTAGGTATCCTAATATGGAATAACAATTTATTATGTGCCGCTAGTATTCTATTCTCTAAGGAGCCCCACCCAAATGGGTTGGATTTGGTTAATAATTAAATTTGGGATGGGTCGGATTTGGGTTTGAATATCTTGATCCAAATTATTTTGGAGCGGGTATGGGAATACTAACTTTGACTCTGACCCAATATATAACCATAAATAATAATTATATAAAATATTTAACATCTAAATTATAAGTATTATATATAAAAGGTTAATTATTTCCTTTTTTTTAAAAGAAAAAATAAACCCATAACCACCGCAACCTTATTCCTCAATTGACTTACTTCAAATTGATTTATTGTCACATTCTTCACATGTGAATTGAAAATAAGGTACGTAATTAGATTGTTTAATCTATAATTAATTAATTATTAACATCTTATTCAACTTTATAATTGTATGAACATTAACTTTATATTAAAAAAATATATATTATCAAATTAAGTAGTTCAGGTTTATGAATTATGATTTTACGTTATTTAGAATCAGATTTATTATAAACTTTTAATATTATTTTATTTCTTTTGTTTATGATTTATTTCGAGGACTTATTAAATTTTGAATATAAAATTTTACATTAAATAATTAAAATCATTAGTTATCATTTTAATAAATAATTTGTATATATTATGTTAGAGTTATTTTTTATACATAAAATGGATCAAATGAGGCGCGATCCAGTGTTTTCTCTAAAAAAAATAACCCAAACCCGCCCCATTTATAAGAATTGATAATTGGGCGGATATAAGTATTCATGAAAGAGGTGGATATGGGCATGGATTTCTTAGTATCCAACCCAACCCGCCCCATTGACATCTGTAGGAGAACCCTTTTGAGTATGAAGCAAGAAAGTATAAAGGGAAGAAAAAGAAATAGCATTTAGTTCTTCATTTTCTCACCTCCCAAGCAAGCACATATTCCCAGCATGAAAGTAACTCAATATGCAATAAAAGTTCCAAATAGTCTGAATAAAAAAGCAGTCCTATAATGCAAAGAAGAATATATATTTGTTTTTCAGGATGATAATCCCATTTGCTTTATGGCCAGAGCCACTTTTGTCCCAGATTCTTGCTCTTTCCCTACTTCAACTGCCTCTATTTATATGGATAACCACAAACTGAAAAATCCCCAGTTGCTAGTTGTGATCTCAGTACTAAACTTTGATGGAAATCTAGCTGCATTTCTTGCCATGGAATCAACAAGAGACTGCATCAGATTACTTGTTTTAGTTGCCACCACATTCTTCACTCTAACTGGTATTCTTCTTTTCTAATTGCATTTCGGTTTAAGCTTTTCGGTTGATTGGTTTATTAAATGAATATCAATGTGACGACAAGCTTTTACTTATTAGTTTAAGCTTTTAATTTTTATAGATGGGAGAGTTGCGCGAGGTTCGCACTTTCGCGGTTCTAAAATCAGAACAAGTCCAATCTACAACAGGATGAAATTTGATTTTGAAAAACCTGAATCATATGGCCTAAATTCTCCATTCTCCATGCCACCATTTGAATCACTAACACCACTTCCTTCACCAAATAACTCCCCCGCTCCCTTCGGTGTCTACCCACCATTTCTTCCACAACCACCCTTCCAAAGCCCACCGTACAGCCCACCGCCAAATCCCATTTCACCAAGCTCACCTCTAGGCCCAGAAAGCCCGTTGGCGCCAAATCCTATTCCACCAAGCCCACCTCAAGGCCCACAAATCCCATCGCCACCACTGAATCCCATTTCACCAAGCCAGAGCCCACCACAATTTGTCCCACTTCCACCAATTTATCAGCCACCTGTTGTTTTGCCACCACCGTCTGTGCCACCACCACCACAGAAGAAGCCACAATATGCTGTGTGGTGTGTGGCCAAGCCAACAGTGCCTGACTCAATAATCCAAGAGGCCATGGATTATGCATGTGGATCAGGAGCAGACTGCAAATCAATTCAACAAAATGGTCCATGCTTTCAACCTAATACAATGTTTTCTCATGCATCATATGCTTTCAACAGTTACTGGCAGAAATCAAAGCAGGCTGGGGGAACCTGTGATTTTGGTGGGAGTGCTATGCTTGTCACTAAAGATCCAAGTAAGTATAGTAAATATTTATTATATCCATCTCTTGACATTTCAGAAATAACGTAAACCCCTACATTGTTATTGAACTATTAAAACTTACTTGTTATAAGTTAATGAACATTGACCCGACTACATTCTTGCTGTTTCTTTTAGAATCTTAAGTTTAATATCTTTTATCCTATTCATTGAACCTTACGCTTTGGCCTTTCCAAAAAGAACAAAAAAAATTCCTGGTTCCACCCCTGGTTATACAAATAGAACATGCATGTAGGGATAACATTTAGTATGTGCAGTTACAGATCCGAAGATACCAAACCCTAATGGAATGAGTCAAGATCAAATTATTTAGACCCGACATATTAGACACCTCTACACAAAAAAGGAAAAAAAAATTAAAAATATATATATTAGCTTCTTGGGAATATGCAACACCACCAGCAAGACAGTACTGAGATCACATGCAAAAAATTTGTCCAAGATGAACAACTTCAATTTGATTTCTTACTTTCCAGGATGGGTTTGTCTCCTTTGATACATAAAGACACTTATTTTTTGTCAGATTCTTCCCCCCTTTCGTTCTTTAATTAATTATGCATGCTCTTTATTATTTTTTGCAGGTTTCGATGAGTGTCAATTCATCTCCAACTGATTAAGAGAAATCGCTTTTGCTAGAAGCAATATCTTGTCTGTATTTATTAGGATTTTGGCTATGGAAACCCTTTTTTCTTTTTTTTTTTCTTTTTTAAGATAATATATTCTTCTGTGCATTAAGGAATCATTAAGAAAATAAAATATTGTAATTAATTAATAGAGTTATTATTATTTAGCAAGTTCTTTGTATGATTCTCTTGATATTTAAGACTGTCTTATATATTATAAAAATTTGCCCTAAAATAGTATAACTAAGGTGGTAAATAAATTATCATTTTGATTTGAAAATCTAATTAATAGGTTATTCTATGAATTATCATAGAATTTATAATTATTAGCTCGCGATTCGAAAATGTCCAATCGATAATTTTTCAACGTGATTTACGCAAGTGCTATCATAATATACAATTATACATGAGAGAAAGACTAAATCCACCATGAGCTTTTGATCCAATAATCAAGGTCCTAGTCTTTGAGCATGGCCAAAGTATACTCAGTGGGGTCGCTTGACCCTACTGAAATTTTAAAATTATTAGAAATAGATATATATTTGATAGTAATTAACAATTTTAATCCCACTAAAATTTATATTGACTCCATTAAAATTATCTATATTTTATTAATCCCATTAAGATATTTTTATATTTTATTAATCATGGGATTCGAAAATACTCTTTTTTTTCTTTTTTTGAGTTTTCTCTCTTTCTCAATTTCTCTTCACTTCTTTCATACTTTCTTCTTTCTTTGATTAAAAAATCTACAATGATAATTATAAAATTGATAATTTAGTATATATAACTTTTAGAAATAAATTTTTAGATTATATTTTTTTATGTTTATTACTTTAATATATTTTATTATAAATTTATTAACTTAAATTGTTTGATGTTATTGACTAAAAATCATGGTTATGTTCCTGGTTTAAACTATAGGAATTAGAGAATACTAAATCCAAACACCAGGAGTAAATGCAATTATCTCAAATATATGATTGTTATATCTAGATTTTAAATCTGAATTTTAAGTAAATTTCTCTACCACAAAAGTCGGTGCCTTTCATCAATGGAGGGTCCATTGCACATAAAAGAATAATGAACAGGGGGATATAGACAAAGTACACTGACAATTTTTTCCAGGCTATTAATTGACTGTATCTAGCTACGTCAAAAAAATTGTCTAAAAAATATTATCTTTTATTTTATTTTATTTTGTCCATAGCGGAAAATTAAATTGATGGGTCAGTGTTAAAATGTCGTGTTGCTATACATTTCTTTTTCAAGAAATTTATGAGCGTAAAGATCTTGATCCAAGTTGAGAAGACAAGACAGCTGTTGGATGGCTATGAAATTCTCGTGCCAAAAAGATTTGAGCCTGCAACTGTTTGTGTTTTTTTATCTTGTGTTTTTTTTCTCATATCATTTTCAGTCAATATCATTCATCTCACCCAAAAAATTTATCAATTACTGGATTAATATCAACAGCTTTAAAATCACATGAGATTTGTCTTTGGATGTTTCAGTCTAAACATGGCGATGATAAAATTCATAATAGGATATTCAACTAGAGAATTACTATATATAGACTATAGAGAGATTCTCTTTGTAGACACTGGAAATACCTTGTGGTAAGAGGTACTTATCCAAGTCCCAATCAAGATTGGTATTAGTCTCATACCTTTGGGCAAGGGTGGATCCAGCATTAGTTGAGGGTGAGTCATGACCCACACTCAATTTTTTAAAAAAAAAATACTAATATATACCCTCCATTTTTTTTTAAAATATTAATATATACAAAAAAGTATTAATGTTTAATTAATTTTTATTTTAGTCTATCTTAATAAAAATTTCTAAATCGGTTATTGCCTTCGGTATAGGAAGACACGAGGATTTCACAAAAAAAAAAATCATTATATAGCAGTATGCTAATATATATTCCTAACATTTTAAACAAGCGTTCAAATTTAAAGGAAAAAAAAATTAAAGNTAGAAAATATATTCAATCAAACTCCATAATTTCTCTTCTTTTTATTTTGTCTATTTGCATTATCTTTAAGATTAAATAATGAAATCTACGGATATTTTTGTGATTTGAGGCTCTTAAGTCAATGAATCCTGATTACCGACAAATTACTTTAATACTCGCAATCCAAATAAAAAATTTACGCACAGAATTTATAAATTTGAGAAGAATAGATTTAAAATTTGAGGCTCTCCCCTCTCGGTAGAGTCTAAAATAAATCTAACCAACCTCTATGATCGAATAAGGATTATTAGGTATAGTATTGAAGAGTTTCTGAGTTTAATTTCTTTCGATTGCTAATAGAAATGATTAACGGAGGATTACCCGATGGTTATTACTAATAGGAATGGTTAACCAATCGTTAACTTTAGTGCGTTTAAATTGGTTCGAACATTCTAATTATAAAAAATAAAAAAAATAAAAAAGTCAACAAGTTAATTAAACTGGTTGGACATTCTGGATTCCAATAAGAAATATATTTACAGGATTTATAAATTTGAAAAGAATTGAAAGTTAAAAGTCTTTGTAGATGGTAAACTTTTTGTCTTTATAAGAAGGCGATTGCATGGTGTGATATTGCATACTTGTAAACTCTTTACCATGGGGAAGTTGGGGTTTGGGTTTTATCTTATTTTGCTTGTAAACCTGTGCGGTTTGCTCAGTTCTTTCGCTTGTCCTGGGTGCCGAAAGCCATCTCCTGCTCCTAAATGCCCCGCTCCATATCCACCGCATGTTAAGCCTCCCTTCCACCCCAAACCACCGCATGTCAAGCCCCCTTACCACCCTAAACCACCCTATGTTCCCAAGCCAACGCCCCCGTACGTTCCCAAGCCTCCGCCAGGTGAAACCCCACCACCTTCGCCACCAAAGCAAGCGACTTGTCCCATTGATACTCTAAGGCTTGGCGCATGTGTGGATGTGCTAGGTGGTCTCGTAAAAATTGGCGTCGGCAGTAGTGCCAAGGACTCCTGCTGCCCGGTGCTGCAAGGGCTGGTGGACTTGGACGCCGCCGTGTGTCTTTGCACCACCATCAAGGCTAAGCTTCTCAACATCAATATCATTTTGCCCATTGCTCTTAAAGTTCTTGTCGACTGTGGCAAGAACCCACCTTCTGGATTTCAATGTCCTACTTAAGGATTTTTCGGTAATATATATGTAAGTTTCATGCAAGTAGTACAGATGAAGATACAGATGATTGCTTTGTGAAAGTAAGTTTTCATGGAAGAATGATCATCAAATAACACGAGTGAGAGAGAGGTTGAAGAAGAGTTCAATGTGTTTTGTTTNGTGACACCGCCCCCGTACGTTCCCAAGCCACCGGTCGTGACACCGCCCCCGTACGTTCCCAAGCCTCCGCCAGGTGAAACGCCATGTCCACCACCTTCGCCACCAAAGCAAGAGACTTGTCCCATTGATACTCTAAAGCTTGGCGCATGTGTGGATGTGCTAGGTGGTCTCGTGCACATTGGCGTCGGCAGTAGTGCCAAGGACTCCTGCTGCCCGGTGCTGCAAGGGCTGGTGGACTTGGACGCTGCCGTGTGTCTTTGCACCACCATCAAGGCTAAGCTTCTCAACATCAATATCATTTTGCCCATTGCTCTTAAAGTTCTTGTCGACTGTGGCAAGAACCCACCTTCTGGATTTCAATGTCCTGCTTAAGGATTTTTTGGTAATATATAAGTTTTATGCAAGTAGGACAGATGAAGATACTGATGATTGCTTTGTGAAAGCAAGTTTTCATGGAAGAATGATCATCAAATATCATGAGTGAGAGAGAGGTTGAAGAAGAGTTCAATGTGTTTTGTTTCATAATCAATCTCATTGCATATCAAGAATGCTAAGTTTATTATATGCTTTGGGAATAAATGTTGGTTGATTGTGATCATCTAATTAAATTGTTCTGTGTACGAGTTCAAAGTTATATCCTTCTTTCTCTCTAGCTCTTTATTATTATTTTTTCTTCAATTTCAGATCCTCGATTATTTTTTGTTAAAAGAAAAAATTTCAATAAATTTTGATACGTGCAAGAAAATTCGTTAATACCAACTAATAAATCTTTAAGAACTTCGATGGACATTTGAACCGGTTTTCAACTTCACATCCTCAATTATTTATTGTTAAAAGAAAAAATTTCGATAAATTTTGATATATGCAAGAAAATTGATTATTACCGACTAATAAATTTTTAAGAGATTCGCTGGACATTTGAACCGATTTGCAACTTCACATTCTCAATTATTTTGTTAAAAGAATTTTCTTTGATAAATTTTGATATGTGCAAGAAATTTTTTTAATACCGACTAATAAATCTTTAAGAGATTCCATGGACATTTGAACTGATTTTCAAGTTCACATCCTCAAGTATTTATCATTAAAAGCCAAAATTTTGATAAATTTTGACATGTACAAGAAAATTAGTTAATACCAGCTAATAAATCTTTAAGAGATTCGATGGGCATTAGATCCGAAATCAATTAATTGATTATGCCGAGGGAGAAAGGTAATTGATTGATTGCATTTGCAAGAAATGACATCTTATAATTCACAAATTACTATTACAATATGGGTTCCTGAAAGGAATTAATGAGCTTTTTACCAAAAATTTAATTAGGTTTTTTATATTTAATGAGAAATTAATCTTGACAAATTACAATTCGTATTATATAAATCTAAATATTTACATTAGAAAAAGTATTTTGAAACCCACCCATGGGTAGCCCAATGGTAAAGGTGAACCAAGGGAGCTGTAAAAAGTCTAACTTACTGTCTTATGTTCGATTCTTAGTTAGGTATAAAGATTGTATTTTTGTCCATGATTTACATAGAAGGCTGCAACGGTGGCTTGATGTGAAATAGTCTCCCCTAAGGATAAGTTGGCTCGTAAACCTCAATTATAAAAAAAAAAAAAATCGCAACCAAACAATACAAGAAAAAGTGACATGACATATCAATTTGATTGGTATAATTCATTGTGGAACAATCCAAAATAGTTTTCAGTATAAAACAGGTAAATGGGACTAGACCTTTCACAAAATTGCTACAAGCAATATATATATAAACACTTTTGGATCTTATCTCTTTTTCGAGTAACACTGAGTAAAAGAGTAGGTCTAGAGACCTATAAACTTTACATTGTATTATTTTCTAAGTTATGTTTTGTTCTTTTGGTGTTCGATAATTCATATGGTAGATTCCTTTCGAAAAAATGAAATATAGTAATAGAATCTTTTTCGGAAGAAATTTCATATGTAGTGACAAATAATAAGTCTTATAAATTTTTTATGAGTCAATAGATTCCATTTGTATAATAATCTTATATTAAAAATGACCCTCATAAGTCAAAAAATTATGTGTTTGAGGGAGAAAATAATTGTTGAGCTGCAAAGCAAGACCAACAAGAAAAATCAAAACTTTCGGCTGATAAAGATAAAGGCCCAAACTAGTTCCGCCCATATTTGGACAACATACTTGCCAAGCAATAAGATAAATAATTAATTATAAAATATGATACACCTTACTTATGTATCCTTACAAAATGTTTTAATATAAATATCATGGAAAAAAAAAAATACAATAATGCTGGACATGCAAAATTTAAAAACGAGTCAAGGTGGGTTGTCAATAGTAACACTTTGTGTAATAACTCTACTAAAGGAGATTTTAATAACTAGAATCACTTCTAGTATGCATATTACAATTTTTACTACCCAATGCTAAATTTGGTCCAAAGGTAAAAAATAATTTGTTGCACCAAAAGATGTGATTAGGCCTACAAACGAGCTGAGGTAGCTCTTGAGCTCAAGGAGCTTGTGTGTCGAGTCGAGTTGAGTTCGAGCCTAATAATACACGACTTCAACAATTAGTGAGTTAACTCGAGCTCGACATATTGTATAATATTTTAATTTTATATTAATATTTTATTTATAATAATTAAAAATCGAGTTTGAACTTGATTTTAATTCGATTACGACCGAGCTAAGCTTGAGTATGAACTCAAGCTTGAGCTTGATTTTGACTCGGTTGTAATCGAGGTCGAACACGAGCCGATCATTATCTATCGAGCTCGACAATTAAAGCTTGATAAATAAATTGAGGAAATAAGGAATATTTTAAGTAACAAAAATTTTATTTGGAGAAACATATTTGAAATATTTTTCTTATATGAACTCTTTTGAGTTTAAAGGACTTCACGACGTATATACATATTTATGGTTAAGATCTAATTGTTAGTATATTCATTTTTATGTATCTATTAATCATGAACTACTGTTACCTCTAGTAAATGTTGAGGTAGAATATGGACATTTTTCTACAATTTTTGAGAAGTGAAAAATAATGGTTTTTGACCACATAAGAGTTATGCAAAATACATGTAAAGTTATTTTGAACATTTTCCTATAATTTTCAAGAAGTCGAATATAATAACCTTTAGATATATTGATACTCATGAAACGATCAATGATTGTCAAAGTTTTACACAGACATATAACAATCTCAAAAGTTAGTGCAAAATATGAAAATTAAAAGGAACTCGACAAAAGAGCCCCGTAACTTTGAGAGAAAAGGTGTCTCCTCGCTAAGGGAGTTGTAATGACTAGATTGAGAGTCTGAGACGAGTGTTTATAAAAAACACAGGTCTTCGCAAAGTCATAAGACCATATATGGGGGCTGATGCCTGCTTAGGGCTGTTAAACGAGACAAGCCGCTCACGAGCCAACTCGGCTCAGCTCGTTAACGGCTCGCCTCGCCTGGAATCAAACCGACTCGGCTTGATTCGTGAGAGAGTACGAGCCGAGTTCGAGCCTGCCTCGACTCAACTCGACTCGTTAGGCCGAGTCGAGCCAGGCTAGAATTATTGAAGGCGTTTTAGGAGTTTTATTAAGTGTAGGGGATTAAACTAAAATTTTAAAAACAAAAAGTTTGCAAAAATGATAAAGAACACTCCAATGTTAAAATCCCTAAAAACGCAACTAAAATCCTTTTCCCTAAAACAAAACCAAACCAAACCATTTTAGGCAAGTTATGGGCGTCAGATTTGGTAGAGAGTGTAGGGAAACAAGGAGAAAGAAGGAAAGAAATCAGAGTTGGTGGAGAGTGCAGGGGAACAAGGATAAAGAATGAAAGAAAGAAAGAGAAAATAGGAAAAAAAAAGGAGAAAGAAGGAAAGAAATAGAAACTTTGTATGCTTTTTACTGGCTCACAAGGGAAACAGGAAGAAAGAAAGAATCGTGAGCAAAAACGAAGGGAAAAAAGAAGAAGAGAGAATCGTGAGCAGAAAGAAAGAAAGGGTAAAAAGAAGAAGAGAGTCGTGAGCATTGGAGTCTAGTGAGAGAGAAAAGAAGAAAGCAAATCAATGTGAAAGAGAAAGAGTAATAAATGAGAGAGAGAAAAGAAAGACTACTAAATGAGAAAGAGAAAATCTATACCAATTTTTTTTTTAAAATTTGTATGCTTTTTACTAGCTCGCGAGCCGACCGTAACTCGGCTTGTTAAGCTAGCTCGTGAGCTAGACTCGAATTTTTTTCTCTCTTTACAAGTCGAGTCGAGTAAGAAAATTAAAGGCTTGGCTCACTTGGACTCAGCTCGATTTTTTTTTTTTTTTCCGAGCTCGTTAAGCTAAAAACTCAGCTCGTTAACAGCCCTATGCCTGCCCAGTGCCAGGAAGGATTATTTATTAATTTTTAAATAATGTATCAAACGTATTATTTTTTAATTGTATTTTAATTTAACCCAAAAAAATTAATTTGATAATCACCAGTTACTTTGGGCCCTAAGATTTTTTTGCTATCCAAAGTCTAGCTGGAAATATAGCCCAAAATCCGAAAAGGCTCGGCCCATTAAGTTGAATTTTGTCGGGAAAATAAACAAAAACAAAAGATTTTCTTGAGAAAGAAGTCAGTCGAAAACAGAACTTATAAAGTTATAATAGAACTCGGGAAAAGCTTAACTCCGGAAGAGCATCAACATTTAACGGGAAGAGAAAGCGTTACAGTTGTTGTTACAGGTAAAGATCCTGTCTTTTCTGATTTTTGTTTTTGTTTTATTCGAAAGATTGAATTTTTATGTGGGTTTTGAGTGTCATTACTGTTTGTTTTTTGGTTGTCTTTGTGTCGAATTTAGGGTTCTGTGTTTACCTTTAGCTGAGACTTGAATAGTTTTTTCTGGGCATGGCTTAGATTTCGTTGTTTGATTCAATTTTTGGTGGGTAATTTTCTGTGTTATGAATTGTTTTGAAGAAGCACAGTAAGAGTTATGATCAAAGTTCTGAGAAGAGAATTAATATAATTTCTGATTGAGATTAATGTTAGCTTTGATGATTCCGAGGATTGAATTGATGCCCGCCCTTGGGATATCAACTTGTTATATGTTTCAATTATATACTGAAATTGAAGTAACTATGAGGAGTTGCTGCAATGGTCAAGCCTATGATTTGTTCCCACAAGGTCTGGATTTCGGTTCCACGGGGTCAACTACTTGGCTAGAAGCCATGAATTTTCTGCTTCCGGAAAACTGTAGGTTTTAGTGGTTGTCAATTTTGAACTCGAGGGACTCAAGTTTAGGGTCTAGGAGATAAAAGAAAGAACTTGCAGTTATGTATGTTGATTTTATTAGTTTAAGTGGACAATGCAAAATGTGAGATATTCTCTTTGTGGACAACTGTTTCACCATGTTCGTGTAATTCTTCTTGTAGTTTTAATATATTTTCTTGAGCTTCGTATCAGAAGGCAAACATGAGAAACAAAATCCCTTAGATGGGTAGCAAGAAAGGCCATTGATCTTGGTCTTGATATCAAAAAGAGTACTTGCCTAATCAAGACCTTGATGCAATGCAACGTTTTCTTGGAAAGTGGTTACCCCGTGGGAAAACATGCTTGATTGGTTTTAAATCAAAATGATTGTCTTGGTTGCAAGGAAAACAAGGCTGAAAGTGAATTAAGTATGGTTTGGAGGCATGGTTTCTGTTTTCTTTAAACAGAAATCAAGGAGAACTATTATACATAGTTGTGGTTCATTCTCTTGTTTTTTGCCTCCTATCATTATCATTGATATTTTTGTTATCTTAGTCCATTTTCATTCCTTAATAATTCTTCTGTTTCCAGAATCGTACTTCTATCATATTTGGCTATTAAATTCTCCAGGACTTGCTTGTGTTTCTGCTTTGATTTGTGCTTCTTTTATATCTTCTATTAATATATAATCTTTCAAGCTTATCTTGAGTTGTTCTAGTCATTAACTACTTAAATGCAAATTTTCTTTTTGATGGTGAATACATGGCTGCAGTTTTCTATTCTCATTGTTTTTTTTTCAATTTGTCTAATCTGATTGTTTTTGTTTGTTCTTATTCTTCCAGTCATTACCAAAAATGTCTCGTAGATATGATAGCCGTACCACAATTTTTTCCCCTGAAGGCCGTCTCTATCAGGTTGAGTATGCAATGGAGGCCATTGGAAATGCCGGTAGTGCGATCGGCATATTATCAAAAGATGGAGTTGTCCTAGTTGGTGAGAAGAAGGTTACTTCCAAGCTCCTGCAAACCTCAACTTCCACCGAGAAGATGTACAAGATTGATGACCATGTTGCTTGTGCTGTTGCTGGAATAATGTCTGATGCCAACATTCTAATAAACACTGCAAGGGTCCAAGCCCAACGCTATACATATGCATACCAAGAGCCAATGCCTGTAGAGCAGCTAGTTCAATCTCTTTGCGATACCAAGCAAGGTTACACACAGTTTGGCGGTCTCCGCCCCTTTGGTGTTTCATTCCTTTTTGCAGGATGGGATAAAAATTATGGCTTTCAGCTGTACATGAGCGACCCTAGTGGAAACTATGGTGGTTGGAAAGCTGCTTCAATTGGTGCAAACAACCAGGCTGCACAATCAATCCTTAAACAGGACTATAAGGATGATATCACAAGGGAAGAAGCGGTCCAACTCGCCCTGAAGGTGCTCAGCAAAACCATGGACAGCACCAGTCTTACTTCGGATAAGCTTGAATTGGCTGAGGTTTACCTTACACCTTCAGGCAATGTGAAATACCAAGTCTGCTCACCTGAGTCCCTGAGTAAGAAGTTGGTGAAGTTTGGAGTGACCCAACCTCCTGCTGAATCTTCTTAAGTTAAGTTCTTCTATGCTTAATTGTAGCTTAAGTTTCAGAGAAGTTTGGACTATCTTTGTATTACTTTATGCTTAATCGGAAAATGAACTTCCCGAACAATGTGTTTGATGATTGGAATGATTAATACTGTCAGGTGTTTAGTGATTATGGATGCAGTTTATCTTCATCTTCCTTTTTATTATTGTTTTCGTGCTTTGCAAGTACATGCAACCTTCAATTTCATGAATTCTTGGTTTCATTATATCATGGAAGTGTAATTTTCTCCATATTAGAGGCATGTTTATAAAGGTTACATATTGATGAAGCTGCAATCTAGAGTATTTGGATGACGTGTTGTGGGGTCAATACACGTGTTCGAGAAAAGTATGACGCGTGTTGTGGGGTAAATACACGTGTTCAAGTTCTTTTCTTGCTGTGCTCTAGTTAACAAAATTTAGGTTTGTCATGTATCATGTTTATGATGCATAGTTGAAGGTGTTTAGGAGTCACTGAACTGATATTTCTAACGTGCAGATGAAAGTCAACCAACAACTATTGGCCTTTGATCTGCACCTGAGAATTTTCAATTGCTTAACTTCCTAGGAAGATCACCCTATATCTTATGGGTATATTACATAGATTTTTCATTGAACTCTTGTTTTTGTTTATAAACTGATGTGATATGATAATTATTGAAAATATACCATCATAGTGTTGATAATAGCTGAAAACACAATCATGTGATTGAGATTCAATCATAGAGAGCTATTTTAAAATTCAAATGTGAAGTGAAAATGTGGGACAATGGTGACATTGATGAACAAGCAAACATATTCATCCCATAAAAGACTAAACACAAGCAAACAAAAAGTGACCATGAACCTGAACATGAATATGATGAGTTTGAGTACAAGAGAGCATAATGTTTTCTACTGTAACTTCACAAAATCTACATTTTAATACTGTGTAGATCCAGAAGTAGCATTTTAACTTATATTATAAGCAACTTTAGTTATTATTATATGAATGTTCCACATCTTCAATTCATTTCAAATATGCCCACAATGTTCCCATGTGCACTCTCATTTTAAAATCTAAGAGAATCATATATTTTAAACTTGTATGCTTCTGGGATTTTAGACCATTGTCTCTAGTTCCACCTGAGAGCTGAGATTTTAGTTTACTCCATGTTGTTAAAAGTAAATATTATTGATTATAATTAGTTGGGTCAATTTCAGGAATCTCTTTTGAAGTTGGGTTCGTTATGTATTAATAGATTCCATTGGTTCAATTTTTTAATCTAATGGTAAATTTTAATGGATACTCTTAATATCTTTTCATTGGATTAAGACAAACTGATTGTTTAAAGTATCAAGGTAACATTACCTTTTATGTGGATCCTTGAACCATAGCTCAAAGATTGTTTCTACTGTAACCAGATAGTTCATATACAACCTAACCTCATAATATAACATAATTATATGGTTATATAACATAAACACTTGTCGTGAATCACCCATAAGGGATTAGTCTAATGATCAGGCGTGAAGGTTTGATGTTCGAGTCTCTTCATAGGTAGATAAGATTACAAGGTTCGATGGGAACCCCAGTTTCGAATATTTGATTCTAAAAAAAAAAATGGTAGTATTGTGATTCATGCTTGTAGTTTGTCTATGTAAGATCGAGGTTCAATTTTCCTCATAGGTACCTTAGGGGCGGAGGGAGGGGGGTCAACTTGACTTCGAAAAATTATATATATATAATTTTTAAATTCATCAAATATAGTAAATTAAATTCATAGTTTTTTTTTTTTTTAAATCTCACAAATGCATTTAATAAATTATATAATGAATTTTATATATTATTTAATTGTACAAAGAACAAAATGAAGAAAGTTTGTATATTTTTTCATATATTTTATAAAATAAATATTATTTCTAAAATTTGTTTGTCAAATTAAATTATTATCAATTGTTTTGTGTTTCAATACTTATATATATATAATATATATATATATATAAATATAAGGGTAGCTTACAAGTTAAAGTTACAAGGAATCGAAACATAAAAGCGAAATTACAACAAAAGTTATATATTTTATATAAAAGCTAGATAAATCATTGAATATTTTATTAATAGAAACTTTATTATAATTTAATTTGAAAGTGTTGTATTTGTGTTAGCTTAACAACTTGTTCATTAGTAAATTTTGATAGTTTTGTTTTACTCGTCAAACACAATCATAAATATATTAATTATATAGAGCATTAAAAAAAATACTCATATTTTTATATAACTTATATCAAATATTATTTATATAAATTTATTTATAATATATTATTAAGTTTAATTAACATCCAGAACCTGGGTGGTCCGGGCTTCATTGTTGCTGCAGTGTGGTGTTGTTAAAAGTCAGTTAATTGAAACTGATGGGACAAACAGAAATAATACCATAGAGAAGCCGGTGAGCCAGCCCACACCACATTACCAGCCATTAATTTTTCACTTGCGTAAAAGCAACCGTTTTGATTTTTTTTTTTAAAAGTGCATTTCCATAGCATCACTTTCACAGTCCCACCGTTGACAGTACACTCAGCCCCACGCCAATTTTGTGCTTCATATTTTTGTGTCCAAAAGTGCTTCTGACGCAACGTTGTGGCCACGTTCGCATGTTGAACCCAAATTATTGCCTCCGCCATGGCTCTGACCCAACTGAAACAACGGCAATGGTTCATAATAAGGGATATTCGATGACATCAATAAAAGAGTTGCCTTAATCTGTATCTTAAAGAACACACGTTACGATCACTTACCCATAAAAAACACATTTATATCAACATTGCAAAATATAATTTTGTTATCTTTCTTTTAACAATGAAAGGCCCATATTTATTATTTGATATAAAATGTTATTTATTGTTAATATGATTAATAAATATTTGTAATATAAAAATATAGACATTTTTGTTACAATAAATCAGTTGAAATGTCTTATTTCATTTTTTGAAAAATTTAGAGAGAATGAGTTAACATCTTCTATGATTTATGCTAAAGAGATTACAGAGCAGAGGGATATGAAATCAAAATTTCATGAAAAACGTATAATAAAGAGAAAAAAAAAAACAATTTGATGAGAATGAAAACGAAGAGACGAAATTGTCTGCTAAAAAATATTTTAGAATTAATTATTTCACATATTTAGTTGATCATGTCATTTACTCACTTCAAAGTATGTTTGAACAATTTGAAATATACCGCGATAATTTCGGTCTCCTTTATAATATAGAAAAAGTTAAATTTGTTTGATGATGATAATTTAAAGAAAAATTGTTTAAATCTTGAAAACCTTTTAAAACATGACATGCTCTCTAATATTGATAATTTAGATTTATATTCAGAATTAAAAGAAATTACAAACGTGGAAATTAAAACACCACTTGAGATACTAGATTTTTTAAAAAAAAAATGTTAATTTTTTTTTTTTAAATGCAAGGATAGCTTATAGAATACTATTAACTATTCATGTTACTGAAAAAAGTTTTTCAAAATTAAAGTTAATAAAATCCTATTTGCGTTCAATAATGTCACAAGAAAGATTAGGTAATTTGACTATATTATCAATTGAAAAAGATTTGGTTTTTAAACTTGAATACAAAAATTTCATTAATGATTTTGCATCTAAAAAGACAAGAATAATAAATTTAAAATAATTTTTTTAATATATACTTATATTTTTAGAAGGCTCACAAAGTAACTTTTGAGTCTTGTCTAAAGTTACAAATGTTCTTAAGACAACTCTGCTTTCTATAAATAAAATGTATGAAATAATCAACGTTATTTTTTTTTCTTTTTATTTTAAACAAAATAAGACAATTCACCCCAAATTTGAGTTGTCTTAATGTATGCTCTTATACATAAAATGCATGGAATCAAACATATATTTTACCGATTAGTGATCATACCCTAAAAAAATGTTGGGTTACACGTTAATGATATATGCGAAGACAACCATATAGACATAAAAGAAGTATTTAGTTACTAAGTTAATATTATTTATAATGTATTCAGAAATTCTTTAATTTCACGTTGTGAATTTAAATTAGAAACTAAAATCTGGACAAAACTTGTAACATGTATCATTGAATATCCTTAAAATAATAAGATCCATGTAAAGAGATGATTAGAAAATATAGATAAGTGAGGTAACGTAACCCTAAACTCAAGTTTGATTATTACAAACTCAAACCTAAGGTTGTACCATTTTAGGAATCTAACTCAAAACCTTAAACTAAATCTATATTTGACATTTGTTGACTCATATCAACCTATGTCACGTGTCAATTTCTCATTGGCCCCCAATAATCTCTCTTCTCTCCTGAAACTCTTAAAATCCACCACCTTCTCTCTCACCTCTCAAACTCAACTCGCCTCCCAAAGTTACCTTCCAATGTCTCCCCAACTCTCTCTTCTGTCTCTCCTCCTTCTTCACATTGCCATTCTTCCATCTCTGCAACAAAAACTCAGCCCCGTCGATCTCGCGGCTCTTGCTGATATCAAATCCACTCTCACTGACATTCCCCGCTCCGACTTCTTCTCCTCCTGGGACTTCACCTCGCCCGATCCCTGCTCCTCCTTCGCCGGCGTCACCTGTTCCCTCTCTCGAGTCACCACTCTCAGTCTCGGAACCGGCTTTACGGACTCACCTGGACTCGCCGGCTCCCTGTCCCCCTCCATCTCCAACTTAACCTCCTTAACCCAGCTCATTCTCTTCCCCGGCCTCGTCACCGGCCCCATCCCTCCCCAACTCGGTCAACTCTCAGACCTCCGTGTCATTTCCTTGACGAACAATCGCTTAACGGGGACGATACCCACTTCGTTTAGATCTCTCAAGAGCTTGCACACACTCGACCTGAGCTTCAACCAGCTCACCGGGGAAATCCCGCCAAGTTTGACGAGCCTTCCAGAGCTGAAAGTTCTCATTTTGGCGTCGAATTCGTTGTCGGGTGAGTTACCCGGCGTGTCGACTCAGTTGCTGCATTTGGATTTGAAGAAGAATAGGCTCACCGGACCGTTAAGATCCCTGCCGTTAACGTTGCGCTATGTGTCGCTATCTGACAATTCTTTGACGGGCCCACTCAACGGCCTACAATCACTCTCAGAGTTAGTGTACCTCGACTTAAGCATGAACAAATTCAATGGGCCCATCCCGGCCCAACTATTCAATCCTTCTTTGTCTTCAATGTTCTTACAACGGAACAATTTATCCGGTGGGCTCCCATCAAGGTTCGTCGGCCTCACATCATCACGATCATATGGTGAGGGATCGATCGTCGATCTTAGCCACAACTTCTTGACAGGGGAGTTATCACCCATCTTAGCAGGTGCCGAGAGCTTGTTCTTGAATAATAACCGTCTGATTGGAGCCGTACCACAAGAGTACATTCAAAGTGTGTTAGACGGAACAACCAAAACATTATACTTACAACATAATTACTTGTCAAAGTTTCCTTCAAAACCCGGATTAGTGTTACCTAATACGGTGTCATTATGTTTAACGTATAACTGTATGGTGCCCTCAATCGGGATGATGTCATGCCCTGCAAGTGCCGGTGGACAAATCTCGAGACCAACGTCACAATGTTCAGCGTTTAAGGCTCACAACTCAATAGATTAAGTCATAAATATCTTATACGTTATAGGAATATTCTTATGAGTGGTAACATTTTTTTTTTTTTTTAATTTTTTTGTTTTGTTTTGTATTTATTACTAAAAGTGGTTGAATTTGTATTTAAAGGGGGTGAAAAAAAATATAGATTATAAATTAAAAAGTCGAGGCATTATTTGGCCATTATTATAGTGTGGTGAGTTGGTGTGTACTTAGTAATCTCTAGAAACCTTTTGTTTATTCTTGTTTATTGACGTGTGCCCTAGTTTGATAATAAATTTTATTTTTGTTAATTTCTAAGATTTTTCCTTAATACATTCATATCGAAATATAATGTTAAAATTATAATAGTTAACATGAAACTAGTAATATAAAATATATAATTAGTAATATTAAACACTAAACTCATAATATCATCATTGAACGATAGTATTTCTTTTATATATATATAATCATTATTTCTGGAATAAAATTTAAATTATGATTTAAGTTAATTATTTCGGTAATTTAATAATTAAAATAATAATATGAGGAAGCAAAAGCCATAAAATTAATAAGAGTTACATGATTTTTAGTAAATCATTTAATGAATTTCGTGAAATGTGTGAATAAAGATAGAGCAAACAAAATTTATTATTATTTGTCGGCTCAACAATCCCAAGTGGTCCACACGTGTTTATCTTGTAAGCGTGTACGCATGCCAACTTTTTACTCTTCATTATGTGAATTCAAGTGTAGAGGTATACTATGACGGTCTTCGGTAACGTTACTGGTTACTTGGTCTTAATCAAGGTTTAGGGTTTAGGGCCACTAAAATAGAATTTGTTCAATTTGGTGCACTAAATAGTAATTTTATTCGATTACGAACACTTTGTTAATTGTAGTTACATTTAATAAGAAACGAGGATAAATTAGTGATTATATAAGTTAACTTTTTTTTTTTTTTTTTGGCAATTACATTTATTATGTTCAATGTAATAGTACAAAATTTAATTTTTTTGTGGGACGAAATATTTGGGCCTCATGAGCCCATAATATATATGGGCTTATTATAATCATACTATACAAGTAAATATGATGTATAAATCATCCCGTCTCAATTATTATTACATAAATATACAATTATTCATTAGAGAGAAAATACTAAATACTTAAAAACGAGGGTCGAACAAATTTGGATTTTTGATCTACACCTTCTCTTCAAGCTCACTAAGTTGAAGTCAAAAGTGAAATCCTCAACTTTGAAACCATCCTACTAATCCAACCCGGGTTTTATCAAACAATCCCTAAAGTGTATCTTATGTGATTTACTCTCAACATGTAATGTCGAGGGATAACATTACCCTCTACAAGAACCTTTAGATTATAATTCAACAAGGGAATTGCTATTCTTACAAAGAAGTCTACAAAGTAGACATACAAAGTTAATCTCCACCCTTCATCTTCATCATTTCTCTCTCTCTCTCTTTCTCTTTTTCCGTTTTTCTTTTGTTTTTTCCTTCACTTTGTAAGCTACTTTGTAAACTTCTTTGTAAGGATAGATTTATCCATTCAACAATTGCGATAGATGTGACATTACCGTTCGTAAGATAAACAGTTGTACCATGTGCATACTTGAAGGGTACCGTTAAAATTTTGAATGTATGAAAAAGAGAAATGTTGGGCCGAAAAGAACTCCAAACATGATGCTTAGAAACTAAGCTAAAATAACTTTAGACCAAACAAAATAGATTCTTAAAGGCAATCAATGTCTATCTCTTTGGCACCACCAATATTCAATTATCACGTTTATAACCTTTTTGTATAATCTAAAGACAATTAATCTGAAAAAATTTGTTCACACACTAAATATTTAAAATAAAATTATTTAATATATGTATGTATTTTCTTTTTCATTGATCTAATCGTTAGTATAATTAATTTATTTTTAGAATAATATATATATCAAAATTTTATTGTGTAAATATATAAAGGATATGATATAAAACTTTGAAGTAAAATAGTAATCGGGAAAGAATTTTTTTTTTTTTTTGTTTAATTCTCAAAGATAAGAAAGGGAAGTATGGAATTATTCTCTTGCACAACCAAACATGCGTCTTCTTTTTTTCTTTCTATTTTATGCTTAATTAGTATTTTATTATAATAATTATTATTTTATTTTACCAGTAAATCCCCCCTTTTTTCTTTCTTTCTTTACAATTTAATGATACCAAACCTTATAATCTTGATGGCCAAAATACTTGTGAGATATATGATATCTCCTAATAAATAGAATCACATGCTTCATTTGATTAACACGTGCAATAATATTTATAGTGAAAATTAAATTATGGGTTTGAAAAGTAATGTATTTGTTTGGTATGTAAAAAGGGTTAGTAGTCATAAACCCTCTTAGGTATTACTAATGATAAAGGTGAATCTTGTTAACAATCTCTAATATATATTTACGCGCACTTCAACTAATCTTAGGAAGAGATTAGTGCAATGATCCATAACCAAGACCCCACACTTAATTGTATGCTTAAATAAGAAATCGAACCTCAGACTATGCACTTATCTCTAATTCACTCTAACCATCTGAACTACCCACAGATGGATACGTAAATTTAGAACATTTAAGGTAAATTTATAAAGTGTTTGTAATTACCTACAACAATTGATTTAAAGACTTCATAAATGATGGTCAATGGTAATTTGGCTATTGAAGAGACAAACATTCTCCTATAAAAGGTAAGAAGATTGGAGAAAATCTGTCCCAATTACCAATAATAACCTCTATTAATTCATTATATATGTAATTTTTTTAAATAACTATTCATAATTTATATACATCTATTATTATTATTATTATTTTTTATATAATAAATGAACTTATGAATTATATGTATCATTGGAACCATGTACTTTGTATATGAATTGATTAATATGTTGTGAATCACATTCTCGTATCATTAAAACCCAATAAAATTTTAACTAAATAGTAAAAAAGCTTTTGCAAATTTTATTTAATTTTTTAACATTTGATTGGGTTTGTTCTTAGACTTACAAAAAATTGCATAAATTAGGCATAGTACAAAGATATTTATGTTAAAAAGGAATTTTTTTTTATATTTTTTATATTATATAATAATAATAATTCTCTAGTTAGGATATCTTGATACAAATTTATTATAACTATGCATAAACATCTTTGGATCTACTATCTAGGTTATAAAATATCATTTTCTGATGTAATGAATCCAATAGTGCATATATATGATTTTGACTAAATTCATATCAGGACGTCTTGAAAAAAAAAAAAAATATATATATATATATATTCTACTTGATACGTAATTAAGTAGTTAGGATGTCTTAACATTAGTTTTTTGGTTTATGCTTATATAATATGGAATTTAAGTTATAAAATATTATTTAGATCTAATGAAATGAATCTATTGATATTTAAATGTGGTGATGACGTCATTAATATGATATCTTGAATACTATATATATAAATTTACTGTTGCAGATGACTTGATATTTTGTGCGGATACATACGACTATATATATAGTGTTTGCTTAATTATGTTGTTTGAACTAAGCTGGCTGTAAAAATACAAAAGCTGAAAGAGAATAATGCTGCCACCAAGCAAGAAGAATATGGCGAATAGTTATAAGCCAATTTGCAGCTTCCATGGAGACTCCACCTCCACCTCCACCTCCAGTCTCGTTCTCACAACTGATCCAAAGCCTCGACTCAGATGGACTCTCGAGCTCCATGAACGATTTGTCGATGCTGTGACTCAGCTTGGAGGACCCGAAAGTACTTCCCATTTAACCACTTTTTCTCTTTTCCCAATTAATTTCTGTGTATTATTTTTTATTCATTTATATGTTTTATATAGATGCAACTCCAAAGAACATCCTTAGAATTATGGGGGTTAAAGGTCTCACTCTTTTCCATCTCAAGAGCCATCTTCAGGTTTTATTTATTTATTTAAATTTCTTCATTTTTTTTCTATATATTAATGTAATTGATATTCTCCTCACTAATTAATTTCAATTTTTATATTTCTGAACTTGTATTATATATAGAAATTCAGGCTTGGGAAGCAATCACAATACAAGGATCATTTCACTGACCAAGCAACAGCTAGGAACACTGAAAGAGGTGATTGTTCTTCATTTCTTGCTACGAACTTTAAATTTTTTAATTAAATTTCAACGGTACGAGAAAATCTATATATTTAATATTATAATTACATATTATTTTCTTTAAAACAGGAGGCTTTCAAAGAAATAATATTTCTGCAGCTACTTCAGCTGGGATAGCAAATTGTACCTTGAGTGAGTAAGTGATTATTTAATTTATAATTAGATAATTATTTCTTATAGAATTTATTAAAATCATTAGATTAAATTTATGTTAATGATATTAAATTATTAATATCTAATTCTTCTTCATAAATTAATGTTTTCTTGCGTTTTATGCACGCTCATAGTAAGATATCATGTATATCTTTATTAAATATTCTGATTCTTTTTTATTTATTAATTAGTTTATTATTATTTTTTTATTAGCAGGAACATACACCCAAGTGAAGTACTTAGAATGCAAATGGAAGAGCGAAGGAGATCAGATCAAGATTTAGAGGTAAATTAATTTAGAAGTTGACACAAAAGAATAATATTTCGTTTAGGATTCTTTCTTGATCTAATTTTTTATCAAAGCTAAGGTTGTTTAATGGTTTATTATAATGGTTTGAGGTCCTCTCTTCCATCGAGCTTTCGGATTTTCTGTTTAAAATTTATTTACTGGGTTAATGTCTCAACCCTTTTCGAGTTTTATTGAATAAGAAAAATCTTTTTACAATTTCATAAATAACAAAAGTTTCTTTGCCGTTACTAAATCGTCGATATCTTATCACGAGTGGTTTAATATTTACTAAATTACTCTCCAACAATTTATTTTAATACCTAAAACTTATGTGTAAGGAGATTGTGTGTATTACTGTAATCTCAGGAGGATCAGCATGAACAGACCCAAGTAGTGATGAGTGGGGCCTGGTGCCCCCACTCAATTTTTTTTCTTTAATTAATTTGGTTTTTTGCTTTGAACCCTTTGTATTTATATTAATATTTCTAGATTTGACTCAACTCATTTATTTTTATTTTTGTTTTATTATAATTATATTATTTTGAACTTGTTCTTCTGAAGTTAATCTCTGGATTCGTCCCTGTTGATTAGCTCAGTTAAAGGTATCTAACTCCTCTTTGTTGTGTTAATAGGTACAACAACACCTTCAAATGAGGATTGATGCGCAGAGAAAATATATGCAAACGATGATGGAGAAAGCTTGCCACACAATTAATTGTGAAGAAAATGTGAGCAGTCAGAGTCAATGGCTTAATCTTGGTATTGATGATCAAGAGCTCCAGGAAATGAATATTAACATTATGAAAGATTTTAGTTTCCTAGAAAACTTTCCATCTCTAGAAGAATTCAACGTTGGTACCACTTCTTCTTTACTTGAAGATGATGCTTTCAAAGGGAATGATCAACAGCTTCAGCTTCAGCTTCAAATGGCGCCCCTCACAGCTGATGGTAACAAAAATATCATAAGATTCATGCCAGGAAATTCTTGAAAATTCAGATTCTTGTGGACTATTACCCATTCTCGTGAGTGCAATTGTAGAGGATAACCTCTTTTTTTTTTTTTTTAAGTAAGAACTCTTAGTTTTATGTTTGTATATGCCTTTGTCTAAGCATTTGATATTACTATGGGAAAACTGATATTCAAGGATGTAGAAACTTAAACAATCTAGAGTAATACGAAATAAAAAACAGTAAACACACACAAGTAAAGAGAAAGAATAATATGTGTAACTTGTCTTGGTTCACCAAATTAACATATTACGTCTAGTAGAATCAATATTATTGAAATACTGTCTCACTTCTCTCTTTACCGTGAATATAATTTGTCTTATGATTCGCTATCGCTCACATACAAGAGAAAAATAAGTTTATATACTAGGTTTAAAATAGTAAAACTTAATATTACAAGGATCCATTTTCTTAAGCCCAAACCCAATTAGGAATTAATTATTTAGAGAAATCCTTTAACGAAACCCCTGAATGTATCTACGTGGCTTGTTTTTGCTGAAGTGATCGACAACTCTAACAGTAACAACATACGTGAACAAAATCTCACGTGCCTAGAAGAATCCTCTAATGACTGCGACGGTATGTTCCAATCTATAGTCATAAATATTTATATAACTTATATGTATTAGATACATCACATACATTACATCCGTTCATTAAGTTCATTTATTGGAACATGGTACAACAAAGATCATACAACAAGACTGACTGCAGGTTTTAAAAGAAGAAGAAATCAAGTGTAATGTAGAATGAAAAAGCACTTAAATTTTAATATGTTAAGGTTTGGGAATTGGGATTAGCCGCACATGACATGTTTCTCAGAAGATTCTCAATCAATTCTCCATATGCAGCAAATGAAGATCCACCCTCCATCACCGCTGATCTGCTCTTTTCATTCTCCTCTTTGACCTTCTTCTCACTTCATTATCACTTTCCATCACACATTTTATAGCGCTTGCTATCTCATCTCCCAACACAACTTCTCCACTGGTGTTCCTATAATCCAATCTCAACTCCACACCCAATCCCAAATCTTTCACCATTAGGAATGCATTAATCTGTTGCACAGCATACATAGGCCATGTCACAATCGGAACACCAAACCACAAACTCTCCAGGATTGAATCCCACCCACAATGTGACACAAATCCCCCTACCGATTTATGAGCCAAGACTGCCTTTTGTGGCGCCCATCCACACACCGTTCCCATCTTCTTTGTTCTCTCCAGGAACCCATTCGGCAAAACTTCCTGGAAATGATCACCTTTATAATCACTAGGCAAACCAATTTTGTCATTCTGCGGTGGCTTCCGTAAAGACCACAAGAACCTGTGCCCACATTTCTCCAGCCCAAGTGCAATTTGTTTCACTTGATCTTCACCAAAGCTCCCCTGGCTTCCGAAGCACAAGAAAACAACTGATGAATAGGCCGATCCTCAAGCCATTTCATGATCCCATCTCTTTCCGAATCATCATCGCCAAAGCGTACTTTTATCACTCTCCCCCTTCATATCAATAAGCGGCCCAACTGTGTAAACAGGAGGCACATCACCATCTTCAAAATCATTCATCAAACACTTAACCGCATCAGCCTCCAGCTCCGAATAAGTGTTGACAATAATCCCTTTGGTCTCCTTGAATCTTCTTCCATGCTTCACAAATGACTCATAACCGCCATATTTGTTGAACAAAAACAAAGGCCAAACCTTACTCGGAACTTGATTAACATAACCAGGAATCACACAAGCAGAATCAAAATCTTCAAACTCTCTCCTAACTTCATCATCTCGGCCTGGAAGGTACAACATGAGAGCGAGACAAGCTGCGTTACAAGTGAAGAACAAATGAGAAGGAACACCGAGTTCTTTTCCCACATCCACCATTGATGAACAAAACATGTCAAACACCATCCCGGCAAGTGGAACTGAATCAGAATTGGAAAGCACATTCTTGATGATAGCTTCTTTGACATAAGGTTTGTAACTCTCTCTGTGATCCGCCACAAGTTTTTCCTTGGAAACTTCAGATTTTTCCAGTGAAGGCGTCTCTACAACAGGAAGATTAATGAACCTTATTCGAGTATCGGAAGCTGGAAGTGACTGAGTGTATTCGGAAGAGCCAGTAAGAGACTTTGGGATGACGAGAACAGTGATTGAGAATCGATCATCTCGATCTAACAGCCGCTTTGCAAACTCAATAGTTGGAACTAGATGGCTTATTCCCGGTGAAGGGATCAACACTAGCTCAGCTTTTTTCATCTTTTTGCTTCAGGTTTTGTGGTAAGACAATGTTGAATCAGAAAGTGTTAGAGGTTACCGTTAATGGCGTTGCTCGCAGTTCAATGCATTCCTTTTGCACAACGATATTCATTATAAAAGTGCCGTCCCTTGCGGCTCCGAAACGGAAGCAGGATTTTAAAATATTGCGGGGAATAGCTTATTTTTGAAACTTGTCCTATTCAAGAAAATATAATTGTTTGAGTAATGCTACACCACTCTTTTACACCATTTTTATTACATCATGATGTGGTATATACCACAACCACTAAATTCTATTATAATATTAAAAAATTTAAATAATTAAAAATATGTGTGGTTGTGACATATGTCACATCATAATGTAATAAAAATGATGTAAAAAAGTGGTGTAAATTTAGGATTACTCTAATTGTTTTATATGATTTTATAGATGTTAAAGTGAAGACTGAAAAACGACATCGCTTTGGTACTTAAGTGAAATGCAGAGTTTTGAGGCCGAATGAGTTGAAAATCCTGACCATCAAAATTGTCCAGATCCAACAGCTGAGGTTTGTTAAAGGGTCAACGGTATAAAAGAGGGGTGAATAGTTCATTCGCGGAGATCTGATTTGGGGTTTTTTCTTCTAATTGTGTTGTCTGTTCTTCGTTAGGTTTTCTGCACTTCTTTGAGAATCATTGTAACTTGGGGTAGATTGATTACTATTAGTGAGTGTTAGTCAATCTGAGAGGATTGTTTACTCTTGTGTCTTAAGGATTCCTGGTGAGTGTCTTTGGGTGTAGTTACGGGTTGATTCTTGTATAAGATCCAATAGGGTGTAATCTGGTTTGAGTCTATACGGTGTGAATCTTGTTCTAATAGTAGTGTCGTGAGCTCTCCATTTCCAGAGCTCAACGTGGATGTAGATTTATCCAATCTGGATAAATCGAACCACGGTAAATCTTGTGAGAATCTTTGTGTTTTGTTGATCTGGTGATTTGTTTGTGTTTATTAGCTGATTATAACAATAGAGTTAATACATCAATCCTTTAGCTATGATATGATAACAAATGTTTTCTATGAGAATTTTAAAATAATTGAAATTTTTTCTATTATTGATGAATTGTTAGTGAATTATTAAAATCTTTTCATGATCAACATGGATGAGTTATAAAAGTTAATTAATCACGTGGAACCAATTCATAAAAATAAATAAATAAATAAAGATAAATGTTACATATTCCTAGATCTATATACACTTGCTTAATTAGTAAATAATGCCACAATGTACCCACTATCAAGCACTGATTCATTAATCTTAATTTGGTGTCTAAAATGCACGTGAAGAAAATTAAATAATACATAATGTATGCCATCTTATTCTTTAAACTTCAAAGTAATTAAATGATAAATTACTTCTTTTAATACAAAAATAAGTGGTTATTACTAAGCTTCTTTCATGGCTTTGTTTCTTATTATGTCATCAATCAAGCCTCTATATGAATTAAATGAAGATCCACCTTCCATAACTGCTAATCTGCTGTTTTCACTCACCTCCTTCACCCTTTTTCTCACCTTTTTCGCACCATGCATTACACATTTTATAGCTTCTGCTATCTCATCTCCTGACACTACTTCTCCACCAGTGCTTTTGTAATCCAATTTCAACTCCAAACCCATCCCCAAATCTTTCACCATTTGGAATGCCTTAAGCTGCTGCTCAGCATACTTAGGCCATGTCACAATTGGAACACCAAACCACAAGCTCTCTAATATTGAGTTCCACCCACCATGTGACACAAATCCTCCTACTGATTTATGAGCCACTACCTCCTTTTGTGGCGCCCACCCACACACCAAACCAATCTCCTTTGTTTTCTCCAAGAACCCATTTGGCAAGATTTCATGGAGGTGATCAATCTTGTAATCACTCGGCTCTTCAAATTTGTCTTCTAATGGTGGCTTCCGTAAAGACCACAAGAACCTCACCCCACTTTGCTCCAATCCAATAGCAATTTCTTTCACTTGCTCTTCTCCAAAGCTCCCCCAGCTTCCAAAGCACAAGAAAACAACTGATGAATCAGGTTGATCATCAAGCCATTTCATGATCTCAGTGCGTCGCGTCACATCTAAAACTAGCTTGTCACTCTGACTCTCGAGATCAATCACCGGTCCAACTATGTAAACTGGTGGCACAGAGTCAGTATCATTCATCAAACACTTAACCGCATGAGATTCCAGCTGCTCAAATGTGTTGACGATAATCCCTTTGGCCTCCTTGAGTCTTCTTCCATGGTTCATAAGTGTAGTGTAGCCTCCATATTTGTTAAACAAAACTGGAGGCAGGCCACTGCTTGGAACTGGATTAACATAACCCGGGATCACCAACTCATCATCAAACTCTTCAAATTCTCTACCATTTCGAGTCGGAAGGTACAGCAAGAGACTAAGATAAGCTGCACCAGAAGAGAAGAACAAATAAGAAGGAACACCAAGTTCATTCCCCACATCTATCATTGACGTGCAAAAGTAATCAACAACTAATCCAGCAAGCGAACGTGAGTCAGAACTGGAAACTACATGTTGACAATAGCTTCTTTGACACAAGCTTTGTAAAAATCTATGAACTCGGTGAAAAACTTTTCTATAGATTGATGAATCTCTTGTGAAGGAGAGAAATCTGAAGGAGGAAGATAGATGAACTTTATTTGAGGGTTGGATTCTGCAAATGAATTAGTGTATGCTGTTGTGAGAGAGGTTTCAGAAGACAAATCAATGAGAAGAATAGTTATGGAGAAACGATCATCTCGATCTAAGAAGCGCTTTCAAGCTCAATATTGGGAATAAGATGGCCTCTGGTGGATAGAGGGATGAACACAAAGCTCAGATTTCTTCATTGTTGCTAGTGATGAGAGAAGATGCAAGTGTTGTCAGGCAATGTGACAACTATACATATTGTATGAAATAATTTTTATATGAAATTAGATATTTAACGAAATAGAGATGGCAGCTATGACAAAAATAACAATAAAAGAGACAATACCATGCCGAGGTACGTACAGTTAAATCAATAGTATTATAATATTTTCTCATCTATCTCGTTTATAAGAAATAAATTATAAGAGAAAAATATAATTATATACTAAGTTTAAAGTGACAAAACCTAATTTTATAAGGATTTCTATTCCTAAGTTCAAACCCAACAAAGAATTAATGATTTAAAGAAATCTTACGGTAGTTATATATGAAAAAAATCCAAATTGCCTACGAGCTTGGGGATACTACCCTCACGATCTCCCGCCTGCTCACTGGATAGCAAGACCCCCGAATGCGTCCATATAACCCATTAATACTAAAATAGTCGACAACTCCAATAATATGCTACTTAAAGATCGATGATGATCATTCACATGGACTGGATGAAACGGGCTGAGAAGTTGTGGATGAAATCAGAAACAAATAAAATAAAATAAATTCCAACATGAAAATCTTACAAGATTAACATAATCAGGGATCACAAACTCTTAGAAATTCGCTACTGGTTTTGTGGTGAGATAATGTTGTGTCAGAAGGTTTTAGAGCTCACCATTAATGGCGTTGCTAGCAGTTCAAGGCATTCTTCTGCAAAATATTATGGTGCATGTTTGGTTTAATATTTTTATTCCTATTCTGGATCCTATTCTCCAAATAGCATTTGATACAATATTCTAAAAATATTATCTTATTTTTTTAATTACATTTTAACCCCATAAGGTTATTAATTTCACTAAATACCCCTTAAAAAAAAGTTTAAAAATTAACAAAAACACCCCCATCAACCCAACTTGTCAGATTCCGGCAACCACCGTTGGTGATAGCCGGAATCTGTACAACGGCCTAACTTTCGACCAGAAATGACCGGAAGTTCACCGCTGTGGCCTTTTCCGGCCAGATCCACCACGGATCTGGCCGGAAAAGGCCAGATCTGGCCGTCAGCGACGGCCAAAGAAATGGCCGTCGTTGACGGTCAACGACGGCCAAATATTGGCCATCGTTGACCGAAAACGACGGCCACATCTTTGGCCGTCGCTGACGGTCAAAGATGGCCCTCGTTTGGCCTTTTCCGGCCGTCGACGGCCATACCAGACCGTAGATCTGGCCTTTTTCGGCCAGATCCACCATGGATCTGGCCGGAAAAGGCCATAACGACCTGTTACGGCACAGATCTGACAAGTTTGTGCCGTAACGAAATTTTTTGGCCAAATTCCGGCGGTGGTGGCCGGAATCTGACACTGCAGGTGGTGGGGGTGTTTTTGTCATTTTATATGTTAGGGTCTTTAGTTAAATTAGTAAACCTAAGGGCTTTTTTACAAATTTTTAAAATTTACCTCGTAATACTCCCATACCAATAAACCAATACTATCCCTAAATCCTATCCAAAATATTAAACCAAACGCACCCAATTATAAAATGGCACCAGCGGCTTGGAAATGGTAGCCGAATTTAGAATAATGCGGGATAGCCTGTTTCGATACTTCTGTCAAATAAGAAAATTATTGTAATGATTGTTTTTTTTTTTTTTTTTTTTTTTGTGATTGGGGTTATCTGGGTCGTTAAACACACTTGAGTATCTTTTAGGGTTCTAAAATTTACTCCATTTTAGTAGTTATCTCTATTAAACTGATTGGGGTTATCCTTATCGGAGATTCCAATGACATTTGAATGCGTCTATATAGCCCATTAATGTTACAATAGTCGACAACTCCAACAAATATGGTATTTAAAGATCACGACCATTCACATGGACTGGATTAAAACGGGCTAAGAAGTTGTGGATGAAATCAGAAACAAATAAAATAAAATAAATTCCAACATGAAAATCTTACAAGATTAACATAATCAGGATCACAAACTCCTAGAAATTCGCTACTGGTTTTGTGGTGAGATAATGTTGTGTCAGAAGGGTTTAGAGCTCACCATTAATGGCGTTGAATTTAATATAGTAAACCCTCTCTACCGATACTCTTACCAATAAATTTTATATAATCATAAAAAATTTTATTTCTAATTTGGGATAGTTATAAATAAGAATAAACTCCACATTGTAATAAATTATAATTTTTCTAATTCTCATCTTAAGAAAAGTTACTTCCACATAAGAATAATTATTTGTATATTACAAAAAAAAAATATATGCTATATGACATTAAAGGTTTATGATAAAATAAAATATTTATCTAAAATTGTTTGGGACAATACTTTATACTTTAGAGTTGTTACCAAATTCTAACTTGCGGATATATAATAACTCGCTAGCATGGACACCTTCTTATTGAAGCCAAAATATTTTTAGCTTCTCAAGCATCTTTAGAGTTTCATGACACAAAACTGTTTGCATTTCCGTACTATCATCCTTAGGATTATTTCCTTTCTCTTCTTGTCTAATTACATCAATGATTTCTTCTTCAGTTAAAGCATATACGATTTGTTGCTCATTTGAATGATCAAGGAAGATATTAATATCAATTCGATTAGTGTAGTGAAGTTGTTGAATTTGATCACTCAATTCTGCAATGACTTTTCTATTCTCTTCATCCACTTCATTTGTAACTTGTAATTCATCGATATCGGAGGTCCTAATTTTGCAATGCTTAAAACAATTGATAATTGTCTGTGACTTTACATCAATTGACCATGCAACAACTGCATTTACAATTCCACCAAGGATATTTATCTTTTTTGGTTCCAATACATGATCTTCTACTTGTTTCAAAAGTTAGCGATTAAAGCGTTGTCGATAATAACCTTTGAAATTTCTAATAATGCCTGCATCACATGGTTGGATTTTGAAAGTGCTAGTTAATGGTGGGAATAGAACAGTTGTGTGATGAAGTGGGGGGAGATTCTCCTTTTTGCCTTGCGCGTACAATTATCCAATATAAATAAGAAATTTCTATCCAAACAACTATCAAACCACTCAAGCCATTCCATAAAAAACAAAGATGTCATCCATTAATTTGAATTCGCTCGATACTTGCAATTGAGACTATCACAGTTAACATTATTAAAGCATCTTAGATTAAGAAACTTATTGATGACCCAAAGCGGAAGTTTGTCAGAGCCATCGCCATTGCAACAAATAACAATTGTAACTCTTTGTTTTGCTTTCGGCCCTCCAACTGCTTTGTTGCAAGAGAGTTATCAGCTTGCATTCGATAAAATAAGCCAGTTTCATCCATATTATAAATGTCCTTCCAAGCCTATTTGTCTAATTCCCTTCTTATTGATGGCAATCTGGCTTCAATTTTCTCCATATTAACTAACCACTTTCCCCAAAACGATGAAAGGAATGAATTCTACTAGGATAAGTAAATAAGAAATTCTAATACTACTACTAAAACAATGAATTGAAATCCTACTAATACTAAAACATGAATTGAAATCCTAATACTATCAAAACATGAATTTTAAAATAGGAAATCAAGTAATATTAAAAGTAAATAGAAAATCCTAATACTACCAAAACATAAATTATAAAATAAGAAACAAGTAATATTAAAAGTAAATAAGAAATCCTAATATTACTAAAACAATTAATTGAAGTCCTAATATATACTATTAAAACATGAATTATAAAATAAGAAATCAAAATAGTTTTTTTTATAACTACACCTCTATTAAGTTATAACCTCCTTATAGTAATAAATTAGTTTGATCCCAACATTATAACTATAGAGAGGTTTTATTGTACTTCTTGATCCAGTTACCTAGAAGTGGTTAATTATTGTAATGTATTACTTTTCCTAAAATCTAAATCAAAACAGAAAAATAAATTATTTGAAGGACAATTTATAGATTCTTGATGGAAGAAATTAGCCGAATTATTATTATTTATTTTTAGTAAAGGGATAGTTACTGAACACCCAAGGTTTGGTCCAATCTCATATATCCGATGTGGTATCGATAATAATGCACAAACGGCACCCCTACCGTGAGGATTTTTCAATTGATAGATCATAGTAAATGACATTAATACCCTCAAAAAAATAATAAAAATAATAAAAATAAATAAATTGATATTAAATAAAAAAATTAAACAATCTATTTTTGTTTATGAATAATTTTTTATCCATTCTAAAAAATAAAGGGGAAATATTATTTAACCCTATTGTAAGGTGTAAGACAAAAGCTAGCCTACAGTGGAAAGGATCTCACAAAATAGTCTAACCCAATTTTCTTAGCGGAGACTGGAAAGAACAAAAACTGTTGCCGTGTTGCGGAAGAAGGGTATATTTCAATTTATTTATTTTCAATTTTTTTATATCTTAATTAAAGTTTAATTTATAACATTTGCCATTTACTATTTTTTTTTTTCCTTTTTACTAATAAAGCTAACTAAACAGTCCTAACAAACAACAGGGGTCTAGAGTTATTACCGATATCATAGGGGATTTATTGGATTTGACCAAATATTGGGGGTTCTTTTTAACTATCCCAATTTCCAAATGAATGAATGAATAAATAAATAAATAAATAAAGACAAAGATTACATTTTCCATATAGATTTATACTTTACATGTGGTTGCTATTGTAGAATAATTAACTCAAGGTAAGACAATAAATTAACAAAGAAAGGAGATAGGGACAGCCTGAGAGAAGTAAGAGATATGGGACTGTTATGATATTTCATGATGATTATCCCAATTTTGTGTACAAAATGGCCTAGTCCTGGAGCAGGAATCAACACTAGCTCTGTAACTTTCTTCATTAACGTTGGCAATCAAATTTCTACTGATTTTGTAAGTGGGTATTGGTCAGCTGGGTTAGGTTTGATTAGCTACAGTAATTGTGATTTAAGTAGAACAAAGATGATTAAATCATTAGATTATGTACTCAAATTAAGGAGGGTGTATTTTATTCAACGTCATACATGATGATTAATCTTGAAACATGTTGAAAAGATTAAAGGCATAAATCTCCTGTGCTTTAATTTTAAAAATAAAAAACATGTATAGGTACATGTTTTAACTCCCAAAATTACAAGTACGTGCTTTTTTCTTGTGTTAGACTTTTATCACACAAAGTTGCAAATGTAATCCCTTATTAGATGTGCAAGAACCGTTTTCAACACATTGATTTTCAACACATTTTCATACTCGCATATCTTTTTATCTCATTTTTGTCAACAAATGAATATGCTAGTTCATATTGTGATAAAATATGAATTAGTATATTCCCTATTTTATACATGGATCACCTTACGAAAAGTTAAATATATCTTTATTTTATCCGGATCAGTTAATCTAACAAGCATTTTTGTTTAAAATATTAGGTTTATCCGCCTTGAATTTAACAACAGTTTATACTATGAATAATTGAAAGGATTTTTTTTTTTTTGTTCTAAAAACCATAATATTCCTCATTTTGATATTGTTCCAGTTTTAAAAAGCTTAGATTCTATGTAACTAGAATTTCTCTCATTTCATATTGTGTCAATTTTGAAAGTCTGAATTTTGTCTCTTAATTGTCTATTGCTCTTTAAGGTTTATTACATTTAAGGGATATATCCCAATACTTTAAACTAACTAATAGACCTTAAATCAAGGGGTTGAATGCAACTAATTTTATTTATATAAACTATCGTTGAGTGGTATGATAATAAAAGAGTAAATGAGGATATAACATAATCTCTCATGTTTGAGTCTCTTTAATAGTAAAAAAACAAGAAGAAGATATAATATAATTTTTTGAGTTTGAGTTTCACGATTACTAATATGAGTGATTATTGAAATTTTTACTCTGTTAGTAATTTTAGGATACCAATAATTAGTTAAATAGGTACAAAATGACCCAACAAAATTTAACTTACATAAATGAGCCAAGACCTCCTTTTGGGGAGCCTAGCTAGATTTGTACCATTTCATTCACCATTTGATACTTAGCCAAATATTTGATTTATCAAATAATATTATATTTACATCATTCTTTTATATATTTTTTATTATATTGATATATTTTACAATCATATAAATTTTTAATTATTTTTAATTTTTAACATTATAATAAAATTTATGTGATTATAATATATGTCATCATATAATGGTGTAGTAAAAATGGTTTAAATTACTCCTTCCCTACCTCTCCTTTATGAGTTATAACACGACAATCTAAATTTGTAAAACTATAGCCACATATCGTTGCAGTATTTAATGAGCTCTAAATTGATTGACATGACGAGGAAAGCTGATTCATTTATTAAAAAAGATTACATCAGAATTTCCCAAACCAACTACACAATTCCACTTCAAAATAAAAATTATATTTGTGTTTGATTTGATATAATGATTAATGACAACGAAACTCCAACCATAGGACATTAAAGATGATTAAGACTACGCTTCTTCATGGCTTATTCCTTAATATTTCATCAATCAATCGTCCGAATGCAGCAAATGAAGATCCACCTTCCGTCACTGCTAATCTGCTCTGTTCACTCCTCTCTTTAACCCTTCTCCTCACCTCATTTTCACCATCCATTACACTTTTTATAGCTCTTGCTATCTCATCTCTTAACACGACTTCTCCACTGGTGTTTCTAAAATCCGATCTCACCTCCACAGCTAAACCCAAATCTTTCACCATTTGGAATGCATTCAGCTGTTGCTCAGCATACATAGGCCATGTCACAATCGGGACACCAAACCACAAGCTCTCCAGAATTGAATTCCACCCACAATGTGACACAAATCCTCCCACTGATTTGTGAGCTAACACCTGCTTTTGTGGCGCCCATCCACACACCAAGCCAATCTCTTTTGTGTTCTCCAAGAACCCTTTTGGCAACACCTCCTGGGCGCCACTCGTGTACTCATTTGGCTCAGCAATTTTGTCTTTTGGTGGGGGTTTACGTAAAGACCACAAAAATCTTATCCCACTTTGCTCCAATCCAGACGCAATTTCTTTCACTTGTTCTTCACCAAAACTCCCCATGCTTCCAAAGCACAAAAACACAACTGATGAATCAGGTTTATTATCAAGCCACTTCATGATCTCATCTGAATCTAACTTATCACTCTCACCCTCGAGATCAATCAGCGGTCCGACTGTGTAAACTGGTGGCACATTGTCAAAATCATTCTTCAAACACTTAACCGCATGAGATTCCAGCTCCTCAAATGTGTTCACAATAAGCCCTTTTGTCTCCTTGAATCTTCTTCCATGGTAGAGAAATGAAGAGTAGCCACCGTACTTGTTTAACAAAACTGTAGGCAGACCACTGCTTGAAATTGGATTAACATAACAAGGGATCACTAAATCACCATCAAACTCTTCAAATCCTCTACCAACTTGAGCATGTCGAATTGGAAGGTAAAGCATGAGGCCAAGAAAAGCTGCACTAGAAGTGTAGAACAAATAAGAAGGAACACCAAGTTCATTTCCCACATCGACCATCGATGAACAAAACATATCAATTACCAACCCGGCAAGTGAACCTGAGACAGAACTGGAAAGCACATTCTTGACAATAGCTTCTTTAACACAAGCTTTATGACTATCTATGGACTCGGTTATAAACTTTTCAACAGATTTATGAACCTCTTGTGAAGGAGAGAAGTCCACAAGAGGAAGATGGATGAACCTTATTGGAGTATTAGATTCTGCAATTGATTTGGTGAATGCAGGTATAGCAGAGCCACCAAGAGGAGATTCCATGACAAGAATAGTCACTGAGAAACGATCATCTCGTTGGATCAAGCATTTTGCAAACTCCACAGTGGGAACTAGGTGGCCTAGTGCTGGTGCAGGGATGAACACAAGCTCAGCTTTCTTCATTGTCGGTGCTGGGAGTGATACGAGAGAAGATTAAAGTGATTTTTTGTTTTTTTTTTTACTTTTCTTGGGGTTTAATTATTTATGGAGATACTCTTATATAAAGACATCTTGTTAAACATGCATAAATGTGAAAAGAATGAAGCATGCAGAAAGCCTTGGATATTTTGAAAGCCAAGAATGTTGGGAGAGAATGGTGGTGGTTGCTGGGTCTATTGACTGCTAGGTAAGGGAATTACTGTGCGGAGATGGTGGAGTGAGCGTGGCATCAATGTCTTCATAAACGAAAATACAAGAAGATTCATATAAATTTAGAAAATTAAACATTAGAATTTATATTAGATAAACTAAAATTAAAGGAAAAGATTTATGTTTGTGTTATGCTTTATTATGAGACCAGTAGTTATCGTGTAAATTTTAGGGTATTTGTTTTTTTTAATGAATTTTAAGTATTTTTTTAATATTATTAGAAATGATTGAAAAATATGTTCGATATGTTTCTCTAAAAATAATATATTTTTTTAAATAAATTATTAACTAAAAACAATTTGTTATATATATATATATATATATTTTTTTTTTTTTTTTTTTAATCAGATTATGGGTCCATTATTAACTATCAATCAAATGACAGAATAAATTTAGCTACTTAATTTGCAGTTGGACGGAAAAGATTATGGGTTGACTGTTAGCATCCTTTAGGCCTACTTAATTTCATTGTCCCTCGCAGGATGTTTTACAATTTGGATCTGGAACGTAGGCCCACTGTAAGTGATGTGCTGATTAATGGGCAATGAAGATGGCTTGATAGTTGATACCAAGTCCCCTCTATTTTGGGGCCCTTACGGACGGATGAAGCCTTTTGGAAGTTGCTTGGAGAAAATAATAATAATAAAAAAATAAAAAACCTTTTGGAAGTCTACTAATAGCCGAAGAGCTAAAATTTCCTCATTTTAGACATGGAGAGATTTGTAAATTGAGAATATTGCGGTGCCGTAGTGCACTGTCGTATCGAATAGCACTTGTATTCTACGACAAGCCTTTATTTTATGGCTTGCTATCAGAACGAAACTACTGACCCAAGATAGGATGTAGGCATGGAGTAGGTATGAGGATCTTGCATGTGTTTTATGTGACAATGTTTATGAGACTCATAACCATCTTTTTTTCGATTGCCTGTTTTCCAGGCCGTTTGGAGGACTACCCAGATTAAAGGTAATTTCCTTACTCCTGTGATTGGCTGGGATAATATTGTTGCATGGTCTGCGGACAATTTCAAAGGAAAAAAAATCAGAGCTATAATAGGTAGACTCCTACTTGGGGCAACTGTGTACCTAGTGTGGCAAGAGGGGAATTTGAGCATTTTTCAAAAAAAAATCAGGAGTCTTGCGTACGTGAAGCGGCAAGTTATTGAGGTTGTAAGACTTGGAATGAGCAGCCTGCCGTTTAAAAATACGGGTAGAACTCGAAGAGTGATGGAGGAATGGAATTTGCCCAAGGAATGTTTCATTGATGGAGCCAATAGTTACCACTGATCTTCAGATGTCTCTTAAGAGAAGAAAAGGAAGACGTTCTCGAATGCTGACCTTGTTGCATTGTGTGGGAGTTATTGTTGTGCTTGCAGGTGCTATATAGTGGACATTTTGGATGATAGCCCTCTGATCTTTTGTTGGTTGACACAGGACTTTATGTTCCCCTTGGCCTCTATTTGTACTTTTTGGAGCTGTTATGTGCTCTATTCTTCCTACCTCCAGCTTGACTCTTGTTTGGGTATGCTCCAAGCTTCTTTTGCCTACAGGTATATGCTGAGCCTCAACAACCGATGTGCTGGAAGTCTGAACTCTGCCCATGATGGCCCTTGTCTGCACCACTAAGATTCTCTATTGACTGTTGGTGTGGTAGAGCTGGATATTTGAAATTTTTGGGTTTTTTTGTGGCATGGGGTTGTGATGAAAAATCTGGTCTGGACTGGCAGCAGTACTACCGATTTTCGTTGGCTTTTTCTAGTTCTGGGCTGCCCTTGCTTTGTTTAACAGGATTTAGCATGGTCTTGGCTGATAGTTATGTGGTTTTGGGACTGCATCTTCTGGTTTTTCAGTTGCCGTTGGTGAAGGGACTTGATGAGAGGTGTTTCTTTTTGGTGTCCTGCTGGAGGGGTGATGCAATCACAAGCAGCCGGCGTCAGCCCATCTTGAGGCAGGAGCCGTATATTGGTGTATCTATCTTGGTTCCTGCTGCCCTGTATAGGGTTTGATTGTTTTTAGTGCTGCAGCCTAGGATGTTTTTTGCCTGCCAGGTTGCTTTGTTTGTGCCGAAGATTTGGTGTTCCATCCTTTCGCTTTTTTGTATAGCATGGTTCTTGGTTATGTCCAAGGGTTTGGCTTTGACTGATATTCTTTATTCTTTAATACAATTACCGAGTTTACCCCAAAAAAGAAAAAAAAAGAAAAAAAAAAAAGAANAAGTATAATTGTTATGCACCCAACTTTGGTATTCCCCCAACTAGAAGGTAAATAACTAACTCAAATATGAACACACTGCAACCTCAAATTCTTGTTCTTACACCTAAGACATTTAATCATACAATTCTAGAGGGATAGTGTTATGTAAGGTTGTTTGATGTTAAACTATTGATGGCAATGATGTTTTACTGAAAACATGAAGATATGTTGTAGCTCTACAGGTTTTTGGCGCCAAAATTGAAGTGTGGAGGGCTAATTTTGAATGATGGAATTGTTAGACTTTTGAATTGTAATGTGCTATTTTTAGATGCATACAGCCGAATGTTATGGCTTTGTATTAGTTTAATGTACTTGTATTAGGTGAAATGTATGGTTAAATTTGAATTTGTATAAAAATATCCTGCAAAGAGTGGTTGTAATAGTGGCTGATTTGGCCTTTAAATTGGCTGTTTTGATGTAATACAATCAAGCTTTTGAATGCATCAGATTAACTCTCTCTTTCCTTAGTATTCTCCAGTTAAAGAATCAACATTTGGTATCAGAGCTACTGTGATTCTTAGGGCCAAAAACACAACACCATAACTCACCACAACCCCATTAAGCAACAAACCCAACTCCTCTTTGTCCACCCATCTTTAATGGTGAATAGTTCCATGTTTGGGCTATCAAAATGAAGACTTATTTGAGAGGTCACGGTTTGTGGCAATATATGGAGGAAGAGAAACAAGTTCCACAGCTTGGAGCAAGTCCAACACTGAATCAGATAAGGATTCATGAATAAGAGTTAGCCAAGGCTCCAAGAGCATTGTCTTGCATCCATTCAGCAATAACCAACCAAGTTTTCTCTAGGATTATGGCATGTGATACTCCTAAAGAAGCTTGGGATAAGCTCAAGGAGGAGTTTGCTGGAAGTAGTCAAACCAAAAACATGCAAGTCTTAAACCTGAGAAGAGTGTTTGAAATGCTCAAAATGCAAGAAATTGAAAATGTCAAGGAGTATGTGGATAGACTAATGAATGTGGTGAATAAGATTAAGCTACTTAGACTCCAAAGACATGTCCCAGATCAACTTAGCAGAACTTATGCATTCTCTTCAAGCACAAGAGCAGAAGAGGTTGCTAAGGCAGGAAGACTCAAGTGAAGGAGCCATGATAGAAAGCCAAAAAAGGAAAAGTTTTCCAAGGAGGAAAAAAAAGGTATATTAGAGAGAAAAAGGGAAAGGAGAAAGTGAACAAACAAGGAGGGAAACATGTCGAATGAGAACCTTCCCTCTACGTCCACATTCCAAGAAGAAAAATCACTCCAAAAACAGGTGCTGTTAGGCCTGACATACAAGGCAGGTCTTGCAATAAATTTGGGCACATTGAGAAAGTATGTAAGAACAAGGGGAACCAAAAGGACCAGCAATCAAAAGCAGTGGAAAGAACATAGCAAACTCAAGAAACAAATCAGCTTTTTGTAGCTTTAGGTTGTATGGTTGCCAACAGCTCTGATGTGTGGTTGATTGACAGTGGCTGCACCAACCATATGACTCCGAATCTTGGTCATTTTGTGAATTTGGATAAGAGTTATCAATTGTAATATCCCACTTGAGGTACCTATTTAAGATTTGCTGTATTAGTTAAAAGTTTACTGTTTCAGTTTCAATTGAGTTGGTTGAATGGTTGCCTTGAAATTAGTTGAATTTGGTGAAGTTTGGAAATCCAATCTTCGCCGGGGTGAAGAAGAAGCTTTGCCATGGCGAGAAGGAGCTGCACCCACGGGTAGGTTCTGCCCTGGTTCGCCGGGGCGACGGAAAGTTCGCTGTGGCGACGAGCCTAATAAAAAGTTTCTTGAGTTTTCTAGAGAATTCTTCTTTTAGGGCACAATGACCATTCTACCCCTAATTAGTAGGAAAAGTGGGGAGTAAAATGTAAGAAAATTTAGTAGAGATTGTGTTTGGATGGGGGTGTAGTTGTAAAGAATCAAAGGATATAGATGGAATTTCTAAGGAAGGGCAAGGGCAAAATGGGAAAGGATGCTTATAATATGAGCTAAAAAGAGTTAAAGTGTAGAGAAACCCTTTATTCATTCATTTCCACCGCTTCTTCCATTTGCCTAATTTCTCTCAATTTCTCCATCCAATCTTCCAAGATTTCTAAGGGATTTAAGAGAGCTTTTGAGTAATTTTGAGTAGAGATTTCATCTAAAGCATCCTAAGGTAAGGATTCATGCTTTAGATGTGAGTTTTCTTATAGTTATAGTGAAGTCTTATTTGGTTGTTATTGTTCTTGTTGTTGTTTTGAGTTGTAGAAAGGAGACAAGACAACAAAGGAAAGGAAAAGTGCTAAAGAAGTCACCTTTTCACAAGGTAAGTAAATCCAACCAACTTGAGTTTTGAATAAGCTTTTGAGTAGAGATTTAGAGATTGAGTAGAGATGTATGCTTGTATAAGTATGTTATGTTGTTGAGAATTGAGTTGAGATGAATATGTATTATGAGAAGTGTTTTTTATGTGTGATGAGAAATGGAATTTGAGATGAAGTTTGAGAGATGTTGTGTGAACCTATTTGGAAGTGCTTTTCTTGACAGGGATTATGAGTATTTGAGGGAGTTTTCCCCCATTTTGGATGGCTAGAGAATGAAGTATAGTAGTAATTTTAGTAGAGTGTTTATATGCACATGAGTTGCTTGATGAAATGCCTAGGTGAAATCTGCCCTGTCACTGCCGTGACTTTCTAAGTAATTTTTGGGCATTTTACGGATTGAACTGGGCTGAGA